AATTCTGAATATGTTTTTGGGCGTTGAAACAAAACAAAAATAATATAATCAGCAAAAATTTCTATATCTAATACATGGGCTAGATCAGTTTTAAGATTTTCAAATTCCAATAACACCAAAAGAACTCAGCATCCGATGGGGAGGGTACACCGTATTGTTGAAAGCGCGCAATATCCCCTTACCATAAATAGCAGCCTTGCCACCGACCGTGAACCAACATATGGAATGCTCGCACAAAAAGGAAGAGGAAATAAAGACTATGTTGTATATGTACCTACTACTACGGCCAAACTGTCGCAGGCCCGGATGTGCGATGAATGGCACCGTTCCCCAATGTCGTCGCAATCTAAGACAAGACACAGAAAAAGCGCAAAAAATAAAACAGGACATCATCGCCCGGCAGGCAGCATCAGGGATGCTACGAACTACACGGACCAATAGCCACATGGGAAGCTGCAGCCAACAATGTCGTTCCCAAAACATTTAAAATATATGTATAGGGGGGAATAATAGTAGGAATACTACTACCCCATCATGCATATCACATAGGGACCTCGGTCAAACTTGGGACCAGCACCGGAACGATACGATCATCATCGGGTGAATATGTTGTCGCGTTGCTCGCCTTGTCTCGTTTGGCCGTTGGCAAATTTATGATATGGCTTGGCATAGCAGCGGCATCACAGAAGTATGCTACAACACAACTAAGTAGGTAGGTATACCGTGAACTAACCGGAGCGCACGCCTTGACACAGTTCCAACCAGTGAGAAATGAAAGCGCCTTCCGGCTGTTTGGTATTGTTTTCGATTTTTTTTTTCCAACGCATGCTTGCCTTTTTCTTCTTGCATGTTTTGTATATTTGATTTGTATTAATTGTTCATTGTTCCGGGCGAGCAATTACTGTTGTCTTTGTTTTTATGTGATACGGGCTCGGATGTGTAAGAGTTCGTAATAAATCCGTTTGAATGCATACACCATTGATCGACTGCATTCAAACAATACTGTACGGAGAAGATCGAGAAGGTCAAAACATTGTAAAAGATTGCTTTAAAGTACGAGTGAAAATAGTTAAATGTTACAGTGTATTGTTCTCAAAGTTCTGTGCAAAGTTATCCTGAATCGGATACAGGAGAAGATCGACGCGACTCTCCGACGGCAGCAGGCAGGATTCCGCGTCGGAAGATCTTGTGTGAACCATATTGTCACGCTCCGCATCATCCTGGAGCAGGTCAATGAATTCCAAGAGTCCCTTTATTTGGTATTCATTGACAAAAGTTTTCGACCGTCTCAATCATCGACCGTCTCAATGAGACGCAAGGGAGTCCCGGATAAAATCGTCAACCTCATCGAAGCGCAGTATGAGGCTTTCACGTGCAGAGTTCTGCATAACGGACCCTTGTCCGACCCTATCCGGGTAGTCGCTGGTGTGAGACAAGGATGTATACTATCACCGCTACTGTTTCTCATTATAATCGACGAGATCATGGTAGGTGCAATTGACCGTGTACCGAACCGTGGGCTGCTTTGGCAGCCAATCACCATGGAGCATCTCAACGACTTCGATTTGGCTGATGATGTTGCTCTACTAGCACAACGGCGCTCTGATATGCAGAGTAAGCTCAATGACCTAGCCGAACGCTCCTCTGCGGCGGGTCTCAACATCAACGTCAACAAGACCAAATCGTTGGATATCAACACGGGCAATCCTTCCAACTTTACGGTAGCGGGGCAAGCAGTGGAGAAGGTCGAAAGTTTCCAATATCTTGGCAGCCAAATAGCGTCGGACGGCGAGACCAAGAGCGACATAGATGCATGAATCAAGAAGGCTAGTGCTGCCTTTGCGAGTTTACGAAACGTATGGAGATCCAATCAGATAAGTCAACGCACCAAAATCCGAATTTTCAACTCGAACGTGAAATCTGTGTTGTTATACGCCAGCGAGACGTGGTGTGTATCAGCGGAGAACACTCAAAAGCTGCAGGTCTTCATCAACCGATGCCTGCGGTATATAATTCGTGCCTGGTGGCCTCACAACCGGATCTCGAATGCCGAGCTCCATCGTCGATGTCATCAGAAGCCGATAGCAACAGAAATTCGAGAGCGAAAGTGGAGGTGGGTCGGCCACACACTTCGACGGGGCGGAAACAAAATCTGCAAGCAAGCGCTGGATTGGAATCCGGCAGGACATCGCAGCAGAGGCAGACGCAGGGGCTCATGGCGGCGGAGCCTCACTAAGGAAATTAAGCAAGTCGATATGAATCTGACCTGGGCCCAGGTCAAGGCAAAAGCGAGCAGCCGCCCAGGATGGAAGTCTTTCACGTTGGCCCTTTGCACCGCTGGTGGTGCACAGGACCCTTAAGGAAAAAATTAAAGGTTTTACTAATATTCAAAGAAATGTTTAGACCGGCCTTGCTTTGCCAATATGGTCTTGTTGTTGCACTACCAGGAAAAAGCTCTTCAAATGATTCAGAAGATGATTGTGAAGCTGCCTCCCCTGGTACAGTACTACCGAGATACATAGAATTTCGAATATTGAGACTTTAGAACAAATCTCACGTCACTTTTGAATAGGTCCTATCTACAACGATTTTCTTTTTGGATCACCACGGCCGTGTTAAAATATTTCCGGATATTTTTGACACACAGTTCTATGGAAGAAGCAACAATTTAACATCTAATGGGACAAAGACGACAGGAAACTGTAGTAGATAGAGTTAGTGTGTCAGTTACGAATGGAATTGTGGTTGAATTAATCTACCTTGAGCTTCTTAAGTTCAGAACGCAATGGGATGCGCATTCAAACAGGAAAATTAGTCACAAGGTTACAACAAACAGTAAAAGGTTGCCGACTGGACTCGAACCACGGACGTTGCGACTATCAGACCTGCGCTTTCTCCACTGCTCTCTCCACGCTTCTATGTAGTAGATAGAGTTAGTGTTGAATAAATAATGAGATTCTGTTTACATGCGAACTATCACGCTTCACGCTCACTTGATTCTACTCATTACTTATTCAACACTAGCTCTATCTACTACAGAAACGTTAATCGATTAATGTAGATTGGTCAATTTCAAAAGTGACGCGAGAAATGTCCAACAAAATAAATGATTATTTCAGACATAAATATAAATTCCCTTTAAAATTATTTAAGATTTAGTTTAAGATTTTAGTATTAAGATGAAAATTGTAATACAGACACGCAGGCAGGCACGCAGGTGTAGAAAACCTGCTTAAAATACTGAATTGCTATGGCAAGAATAATGTAAACACACCTAGATATATATTATTACAATTAAGGTTGGTAAGTTACTTTTGTAGCACCTGGATGAATGTAAATTTATTTGAAATTGAAACAAATAGAGCGAAAAACATAAATATTATAGGTAATTTATGACAAGTTTCAATGGCTTTACTACCGTGTTCTTATGGAACATTTATGCGTCAAACGGCAGTTCATATATTTTCACTATCCTTTGACTGAAATACACTGGAGTCGCTTTTTATGTGTTTTTTAACACGGTTTTTTTGCTATGCCAAAATTTTCTGAAGGTATGTATTTATTATTAGGGCCTGTTCATAAACTACGCAGACAGTTTTTTTTGATTCTTGACTCCCCCCTCCCCCTGCGTAGACAATTGTCCATACAAAAATTTTAAAATTTTTATGGGCCGTGGATAATTGTCAACCCCCCCCCCCCCCCCCGCACCCCCTAAACTGTCTACGTAGTTTATGGACAGCCCCTATCGACTTCGGTAGTTTTATTTCACACATTGAACAGATTAACTACTGTTACTGTATACACATAAATGTCTCACGTTCCATTATAGACTGTTATGCGTATAGCAGCCAGTGCTGTAAATTCTCAAAATCATTTGAACATTTTTGATGAAAATGAGAAAAGTAGCTATTCGCTATCAAACGGGACCTCCTCCGAATGGGGGGTGATATCAGTTGCTTAGTCATTTGACGAAGGCATGGATCATTCTCATTTGAGAAACGCTATATATCATTCAATTGAGTGTAACCTACACACAAACGGAGCTCTGGTCGACATTCCGGCGAAAAAGCTAAGCCAACCCGACACCAACCTGACTTCTATCAAACCCCAACCCGATGTTGAACCGACATAAACTCAAAATTGACCCGACAACAACACGACATTGGGTCGACATCGACCTTAAATTAGCCTTACATTGATCCGACATCGGGTCGACTTGTCTGTTCGGGACCATTTTGCTGGATTTCTTCCATACTCCACTGTCTTATATCAAATGATACTGAGTGACTCAATTGACAGTGACAATGAGCTTCGAATGAGAGAGGGGCTCTTCAAATTATGGTCATGTGAGAATTCGTTTACACAGAATTGATTGAATGGTTGTAGTGGTTCATCTTCAATCGAATGATATGAAAATTTACAGCACTGATAGCAGCAGTTAACCGTTCGAAAAAATCAGATATTATTTTCAATTGATTAAGTAAAGCTACAAAACAACGAAACTACAATGCACATTGGATATGATTGGAATATTTGAATTAGAATAAAAATGTTTAAGCAATATTTTATGAGAACAATAGGCTTTCATATTATGTCTAAATTTTACCGGTGGCACAGTTAATAATTCCTTAGTGTGTAAAACTAAATACAGATCCATTACACTGCTAAAGACAGATAGGGGAAATGGATGTAATGTCGGCTTAAATACCCCTAATTTGGGCCCATACATAAATTCAGCAATCCACTAAATTTTCAATGGCTACCAAAAATAGCCATTAGTACCGTCCCAATGACGCGTTCATCTAGATAAAATTGATAAATAGCAGACTTTTAGCGATGGCCGCAATCTTAGATCTATAGGTCAACATTAGAGCCATTTCCCCTATAACAGTGATAGTGTTGTTAGACAAATGAAACCATGGAAAGTATGATTTCATTCAACAACGGGAGTTGTCATTAAAAAAAAAAACTTTGAACATGCTGAACATATTTTCAAAAAATGCTTAAAAATAGTTTATTTCTATTTAATTCATCAATCGTTGGATATCTCAATTTTCTCGTAATCAATTAGATAATTATTGTACGATAGCCTATTAGAAACAGTCTACTCCGACGCCTTACTTTCTTCTAGCTTCACAGCCACCGGTTGGGGTGCCGTTCTCCAGCCGTCATTGTGCCTATCGAGTCGATTCTTAAGCATCTCCACCTCACGATTGCGTTTCTTGGTCAATTTTTTTACTAGATGTAACCTGAATCGAATGTTCCGGTTAATGCATGGCTACTTGGTAATAGAAATGAAACATACCTGTGTACTATCCGTTCGTTGTTCTTTTGAATCGCCTTGCATCGTTCCTGGAGCATCTTCACACCTCTCCGGTACTGTTCGTTTTTATCCATCTCGTTGAACAGTTGGTGCCCGTTCTCACCGTGCGGATGGCTGACGTTCGGTTTGGAAGGTTTCCCACTCGTCATGGCTGCGGTTAGGGAACGTTGACTACAGATATTCAAACTTTTTTGCAGAGCATTGCAGAATTTTACACACAATTTGAATGCAATGTTTTGTTTAGCGACGAACGATCAGCTGGGTTTGACAGATTTATTTTGTGAGAGACTGCCAGCGAAACGGGAGCGACGCCGCCTTGAAAGCGAGGAGGTTGACTGAGAGAAGCGAACTTGTTTTGTATGCCAAGTGGTAAACGTGCAGTTTACAATGCTCAAAGAATATTCGTTTCGGGAGACACGTGCTTCGCAGCGCGCCTTGAAGCTTTTAGTGTTTCATTGTTTAATAATTAAATTATTTTGATATTTTTGGCATCTTATTTTCTTTTTCCATTTTATGCAATTAGGGAAATGGCTCTAATGTTGGCCTATGGATCTAATATTGGGCCCATCGTTAAAATTCTGCTATTTATCAATTTTATATAGATGAACGGTAATAATGGATATTTTTGGTCGCTATTGAAAATTTAGTCGATTGCTGAATTTATGTATGGGTTCAAATTAGAGGCCTTTAGGCCGACATTACATCCATTTCCCCTATGGGATCGATACAAATATTATTGTGCTTAGAAAACAAAGCTCGTTCAGTTAAGGTATGAAAATCGGTATGATTATCGAAATTAAACAACCCTGAATAAGTATTTTTTAGCTGAAGATGCATATTTTTCCTGGATAAGCTATTTTTCTGCTTGCAATGTTTGTTGGGCATTTCAGATACTCTACCAAACATGGTTCTAAGTCCACGCGTCATTCGAAAACTCCCCAATGCTTGCAGGTCCTCCTCGAGCGTCGTCAATGTCTCGTGACCGTACACTCAAAAAATATTGAAAGCTAAATAGTATAAAATTTACGCTAATTCGCAACTCTCCGTGCCCACGCAAAGGTCAGTATAAAGGAAGAGAATTCAGACTTAGTATAAAAATGATTTATGCCTGCCATAGTAATAAAATATACTTGCAATGCAAACATACGATTTATTCGAGGGAATGTATGTTCTGCTTCTTTTTCGTTTCATGATTAATATTATTGTTTTCAAATCAATATTCAAATTTGCCTTAGGAAGTTTTCTTAATTATTTTCATTTTATAAATATTTATTATTATGAAAAATACGTTCGTTTTTGAAATGTTGACCGGATGATTCGTCGGGCGGCAACGTTCCGAGCGAAGGCAGAAAATTCGATCTTAACGGAAATTCAGAAATATTATTCATGTTAAAAGGTAAAGGTGTAAATTCATTTTGAATAAGTATACTCATTGTCGATCTTCTTTGTTTTCTTTCGATTTGATCTTCTTAAAATTGGCGAATGTAGTGCAACTGTATCTGGAACGGGTTTTAATACTCTGGGATGCAGTTCGCTACTTGAAGGCAAAGGTGGATATGGGCTAGGCGTAAATCCTAAAAATTCATCATCGCTGTTTTCCAATTCTTCGAATCTTCTCTTCTTTCCACGTCCAAGGGTTTCACTCCTCTCCACTGAACCTGGTACCGAGTTTGAATTACCATGTACGTAATTATCCTTCTGCGACTGGAGCGTCAAATTACGCCTTCGTCCCGTCTGACTCCGTATCTTCACCTGCCCCTTGTGGGCCGAGACGAGGATTGACCGCACGGCGATCTGTAATACATTTTGAGAAATTCTTTTAATAAAAATTGCTTCATGCCATTTTTCAATATCTTTAGGGTTATGATTCTTGTAATAAACCTTATCACCCAACTTCAAATTAGCATAAGGATCCTTTGTATCATCTTGATTATATTCATATTTCAATGCCAATGGTTCGGCTAACTGCCGTTTGTAGCTATTTCTAGGATTGACCAGTTTTTGGCTTAAAGCTCAAAATATTCTCGGAAGGATACTTTCCCCCTTCAGACAAGCAAGTATTTCTGTAGTTGAAAAGAAAATAATTTATTTTATCCTGAAGGTCCATATTTCTCGTCGCTGGGTCCAAAAGAAATTTTTTTAATACATCCTTCGATACTCTAACCAAACGTTCCGCTTGGCCATTGCTTTGAGGGTGGTATGGTGGACTTTTAAAAACCTGAATACCTTGTCGTTCCAAAAAAATTATGAAATATTTCGAATTGAATGGAGGACCATTGTCTGTTACCACTACATCCGGAAGTCCAAAGCGAGCAAACAAACCGATAAATTATTTAACTACCTTCTCTGCATCGGTACCATACTTCATCCAAATGATTTCTAACCATTTTAAAAAGCTGTCCACTATTAAAAGGCAGGTACGCCTTTCAAAATAAAAAAAAATCAGCATGAACTCTGCTTAAAGGCCGTGTTGTGCCAATCCATTCCGATGTTTCTTTTTCATTCGACGCTACAGATGTTTTTACACATACTTCACAATTTTTGACAAATGATTCTATGTCACCATTGATTCCAAACCAATAAATACTTCTTCTAAAGGGTGATACGGTCAAAATTCGGTCAAGGGAAAACGCGTGTAAATCGGTGAAATCGTTTATTTAAAAAATCAAATTAAATTTCTTTTTCAAGTTCAATTAGTATAAAATTCAGGAAAAATATTCAGTTAGGCTTCCGCTTTTCCAAATCCGAATTGCCGGGCCTTACGCTTGACCCCTGCCATCAGATTTTGTACAGCCACCTTGTCCACCTTTTTCGCCGCAGAAAGCCAGTTTGCCTTGAACTGCTGCTCACCCTTAGCAGTTTTTTTGGTCTTCTTTAGGTTCCGCTTGACAATAGCCCAATATTTCTCAATTGGGCGGAGCTCTGGCGTGTTGGGAGGGTTCTTGTCCTTGGGAACCACCTGCACGTTGTTGGCGGCGTACCACTCCATGGCCTTTTTACCGTAATGGCAAGATGCCAAATCCGACCAAAACAGTACGGAACAACCGTGTTTCTTCAGGAAAGGCAGCAGACGTTTATTCAAACACTCTTTCACGTAAATTTCTTGGTTGACAGTCCCGGAAGCTATGAAAATGCTGCTTTTCAAGCCACAGGTACAGATGGCTTGCCAAACCAGATATTTCTTTGCGAACTTTGACAGTTTCATGTGCTTGAAAACATCTGCTACCTTTCCCCTTCCTTTTGCCGTATAAAACTCCTGTCCATGAAGCTGCTTGTAGTCGGCTTTGACGTAGGTTTCGTCGTCCATTACCACGCAGTCAATCTTTGTCAGCATCGTCGTGTACAGCCTCCGGGATCGCGCTTTGGCCGTCGTATTTTGTTTATCATCGCGATTTGGAGTCACTACCTTCTTGTAAGTCGATAGTCCGGCTCGTTTTTTGGCTCGATGCACGGTTGTAGACGATACACCCAGCTTATTTGCGGCATCTCGGAGAGAGAGGTTAGGGTTTCGCTTGAAACTACCGGCAACTCTCTTTGTCGTCTCAGCGGCTTCCGGTTTTCGATTTCCCCCGATCCAGACTTCCTGGTTGTCGACAAACGTTCCCCAAACACATTTGTAACGGTTGATTTGGCAACTTTTAGCGATTTTGCCAACTTTGCGTGCGAGTAGCTCGGATTTTCGCGATGCGCGAGCAAAATTTTGATACGCTGCTCTTCTTGCTTGGACGGCATTTTGACAACTGAAGAGTGAATTCCAAAATCAAAATAGGAGCAACATTCTACACACACACACCTTCAAAATGAGGGGTGTTCAGGTTTTTTAAATGCAAAATTGAAAGAAATACGTCAAATTGATATTGACCAAATTTTGACCGTATCACCCTTTAGCTTGTTGTTTCATCTTTACAATGCCGGTGTGGTTTGCATGAAGGATTTGCAAAACCTTCTTCTGTAAAGAAACAGGAATAATCACTCTATCTTGAAATAGCAAACACCCATCAATGTCTTCAATATCTTGATGTTGCGAATAAATATTTTTAAAACATTGATCAACTCGTTCTGGCCAACCATTTTTCATAAACAATATAATTTGTTGCAAATAAAAATCATTTACAGTTTCTCTTGCAATATCAGTAAAATCCAAAGGTAAATCTTGAGAAAAATTCAAATTCTTGACATATTGCTTCTCTAAGCTTCTGAGAACTTCTATTTCCAAAGGGAAACGTGAACAAAAATCAGCATTAGCCATCTTGTTTGCTGGTCTGTATTCAATATTATAGTCATAAATGGCTAACTCCATAACATAACGCTGAATTCTTGTTACTGAAATTGAATTTCGACCTGCTTTTCCCAATATTCCTAATAAAGGTTTGTGGTCTGTAAAAATAGTAAAATTTTGACCAAATAAAAATTTGTGAAACTTTTTTACTGTTGATACCACTGCTAACGCTTCCAGATGAAGTATGGGATAACTTTTTTGCGCCTGATTGAGCGAAAATGATGTGAACCAGATTGGTTTTTCCATTCCCTCTATAACATGTGAAATAACTCCACCAAGACCATAAGAGGAAGCGTCAGTACTAACCACAATGGGCTTTTTTGGATCATAAAATGTCAAAATATTTGCATTTAGTAGTTTTTCTTTGCAACCCTTAAAAGCTTCTTCACATTTAAAATCCCACAAAAACCTAACCTCCTTTTTCAGCAAATGGTACAAAGGACTTAGAACTGTTGATAAATTTGGCAAAAACTTTCCGTAGTAATTTATTAACCCCAAGAAAGCTTTCAATTCAGTAGTAGTTTTGGGTATTTGTGCCGAATTAATAGTTGAAACCTTCTCTGGATCAGGTAAAAGTCCATTGTCTGTTATAATATGTCCTAAGTATGGCAACTTATTCACAAAAAAATTACATTTTTTTAAGTTAACTTTAACATTTACATCAGATAATCTGTCTAGCACTAAAATCATTCGTCTGTAACAATCGTCAAAGTTTTTTCCAGCAATGAGAACATCGTCAAGATAACAATAGACGTATTCAATTCCCTGTAAAATAGTTTCCATTATTTGTTGAAATATGGCTGCGCTTGAAGATGCGCCCTGAGGGAGCCGATTGTATGTGAAAAGTCCCTTTATTGTATTGATAACCACAATTTTTTTTTGAATTTTCAGACAACTGCAGTTGTGTATAAGCCAAATCCAGTGAACAAAAAACCTTACAGC